GGGGGTAAATTCTGATTTGGTCAAGTGGTGTTGCAGTGTGGAGCATCTGACCTTGTAGAATATTATGTCAGATGGCTTTGCAGTGAAGGTCCGTTGACCTTGCAGTATGGGTCAGTTTGGGTTGAAGCATGGGTCAATTGACGTTGAAACAATGATCAGTTGACATTGCAGCGTGGGTCAATTGATGTTGAAGTATTGGTCAAATGAGGTTGCCGTATGGGTCTGTAGACATTACAGTATGGGTCAGTTTAGGTTGAAGTATGGGTCAGTTGACGTTGAAAAATGGGTCATTTGAGATAGTAGTAAGGGTCAATTGACGTTAAGAGATGGGTCAATTGACGTTGAAAAAATGGGTCATTTGGCATTGCAGTATGGGTCAGTCTAGGTTGGAATATGGGTCACTTGACATTACAGTGTGGTTCAGTTGAGGGTGCAGTTTGGGTCAGGCGATGTTGTTTTTTGCTCCAGGAGATCTGAACGCCTACGAGATCAGCATGAGTGACGAAGATCGTATGGCCTTGATGATCCTGGTCAAAGAGGGAAAGATCAGCACACAGACTGCGCTCGCTGTGGTGAGTAGAAAAAATATGTTGCTTTACATATGTGTGTTCTTTCATGCCTTTATATATATTTTTCACTCTTTAAAGACTCGTCAGACTCATCTGTCCGACCAAAAACAGATCAAAGTCAGTGTTGTGGCACATTTCAAGCCCACATACACAAACCAGAAACACAACATTGGACATTCCATATTGATATAAATTTAATGTTGTTGCCTGCCTTTTTAAGTTTCAGAAACGGAAAACAGAATTGGACAATTTGTATAGATTTAACAAAGTTCAGCTTTTTCAAGCATTCAAAAGGGCAGGATTTGCGTCTCAATGAGTTAACATAATATCATTTATAGTAAGATTTTATATGTAAACTTTTTGTGTTGCAAGCGCCGTAAAACTGTTAGTAAAACCGTAACGTTTATGAGTGTAAGCGCCCCGTTGACAGGGTGAGAGGTTCAGGGCGCCATTGGCTGGTCCTATTTCTTTACTTTCCCTCTGTTGTTTCTGTCTGTCTGTCTGTCTGTCTGTCTGTGTGTCTGTCTGTCTGTCTGTCTGTCTGTCTGTCTGTCTGTCTGTCTGTCTGTCTGTTGATCTGTCTGTCTGTTGGTCTGACTTTCCTCCTGGCGCTAAATGAGCATTATTATGTCGACGTGCTTCTATTTACTCGAACAAATAAAAGTGCTGTGTGTCTTTGTCTGTGTCCCGTCCTTCTTTTTTCTGCCTCGAGGTCTTTACTTTCCTTCTTTTGTTTCTGTCTGTCACTGTCTGTCTGTGTGTCTGTCTGTCTGTGTGTCTGTCTGTCTGTCTGTCTGTCTGTCTGTCTGTCTGTCTGTCTGTCTGTCCATGTGTGTGTGTCCGTCTGTCTGTCTGCCTGCGTGTCTGTCTATCTGTGTGTTTGTCAGTCAGTCAGTCTGTCTGTCTGTCTGTCTGTCTGTCTGTCTGTCTGTCTGCCTGTCTGTCTGCCTTACTTTTTCCCCAGCACTAATTAAATGACCATTATTGTATCGACGAGCTTCTCTTTACTCAAACCAAAGTGCTGTGAGTCTTTGTGTATGCGCCGTCCTACTTTTTTTCTTCCTCGATGTCTTTACATTCCTTCTATTGTTTCTGTCTGTGTGTCTCTCTGCCTTACTTTTCCCCAGCACTAATTAAATGACCATCACTGTGTCGACGTGCTTCTCAAACAAAAGTGCTGTGTGTCTTTGTCTCTGTCCCGTCCTACTTTTTTATGCCCCGCACTGTATTCGGAATGATCACGGTAATTACACGTGCAGCTGGTTCAGATAGTATCATAAATCACTGGACGCCGAGAGATACTAATTGTGAGCATTTGTGTTTTCCTTTATTGTATAGTTACGATCTCGAGACAACACACTGCTTTTTCTTTCCTCGTCCTTACTATCACCATTTTCCCCTCTACTTCTATTCCGGGTTGCCTTGTTAGTCGAAGCAGACTATATATGTGCTGTTGAGGCTAGAGAGGTCAGCAGAGTAAGCCTGAGTCTGCGTTTGGATTTCTCTGTTGACATCCACCCCTTGGCGCTCATATGACCTTATGCTATTGCGAGCGCCGTAAAACCTTACTAAATTTAAACTCTCAAATGACAAGACCAGCGTCTGGGCAGTTTGTTGGCGTAAGGCTCTTTGCCATTGCACGCAGAAGGCTTGAGTTCGATTCCAGAGTGCGGTAGTTTTGGGGCTGTTTTGTACGTCAAAGTAGGGTTCAGTGGGTGGGTGGCGGGTGCTCTGGTGTGGCTTGCTCCTTATTTTCTATCAAACATAATCTATTGTCTTTATCTCTCCTCCTCCTCCTATTTTGTGTTTGCTGCTCTCTTGATGGAACACCTTTACTCTTCACCATTTGTATGACCTAACTGTGTTGCAAGTGCCGTAAAAATCGTATTAAAAACAAAACGAAAAGGAAACGCAAAATCCGAAACAGCGCTCATGAGAGGCTCTGCAAAAACGTTGAATCAATGTGTCTAGAAATATAGAGGGCTAAAATAAAATTCACAGAAAAGGAATGCGATAGATAGACAGTGAATAGATTAATGAATAAATAAATAAATGGATGGGTGGATGGACGGAACGGATGGAAGAATGGGTGGCTAAAGGATTGAATAGATAGATAACTGAATTAATTGTATAATTAATCGATTGATTAATTAATTAGACAAAAAGGCCCCCAAAATGAAGCGTTCTTCCGCTTTGCTGTGTAGGCATCAGATTCAGGTTGCTAAGTCTATCCTCCAAGGTTCGCCACCGATGCCATAGATCCAGAGAATATCGTTATTTTTTTTTT